TGCCGTGGCCTGCTCCAACTTCCCCTTCGTTCGCTTATCAAGTTTGGGTATTAGGTGATCTTTGATCGATCCTTGCTTCATCAACGAAGCATTCAATGTAGATGGAGTTGAGCTGCCGCTTGCCTTCGATGGCTTTGCCCGCTTACCATTGGGACGATCATCTATCTCGGTGCATTCATTGTCCTCCGAAAAGCGGAGAATTAATTCAGGTGCCTCATCACCCGCTCACTCTTCTTGTGATGGTTGAATCTGGTGCGACAATGGTTGCAGACGGCACTCTTCAACTTGTACGGTTCCGGATCATCGGTGAAGTAGTGCCAAAACTGGCCCATCGAGCGTCCTCTGGCCTTCCCTCCACTCCATCCTTCTTCGCGTCGGCCACTCCATTCTTCTCCATCACGACATTACTATCACATTCTTCAGAATCGAGTGAATCCTCATCCAGGTCCTGATCGATGATCCTGCTTGCGGTGGACATTGGGTTCGTTAGATGACACTAGTAACTCAGTAATGCCAAGATTTCTGATTTCTGAGCTCCAGCCTTCCGCAGTCCTGTGCCCCCGAATGTGCCAACTTGCTGTGCTTTAGTCACCTGGCGCTCCGCTCGTTGTTGTGAGCATCGCTCCTCCGCCCTCTGTTGTTGTTGGAGGGCGACTGCCTCCAACTGCCCAGTAGCATCCTTCACGAGCCTCCTCCACAGAGGCCGATATTAACCCCGCTGACACCGGTCATCGGCTAGTCCACTCAGCTCCACATCCTCATGTATCACATCACTCTATTTCTTTTTCAGCCCGTGCCATGCCCGTTAAGCCCCATTTATGCCACCAAACAGAGGCTGTTTAGGCATGCGGTGGCCAAACATGCTGACTACATGAACCAGCCAATGCAGCCTAGCCTGCCGGAGCTCACCGATGAGACTTTGTCCACATCTTTCAAGGATTTGTGAGCTCCTCACACAATCCAGCCTGGTTAAACCCAGGATGGATCGGAGGCAGGCCAGCCTAAATGTTTTTAACCGGTGAAGATGTTCCATTAGGGGGTCCACGTTTCGCAAGCGTAGAGAAGGGAGGGAATGACTGTGGCCGAGAAGACCCGAAGCTTCGTGCGGAGCGACAGACCAGGTAGCATCCACACAGCGTTACGCAACTGATAAAAAGATAATGCCGCTCAACTGATTTGGAGTGAGACCTCTGCTGTCAAACCAGAGCCGTTCGTGAGCTCACTGCCCAGGTATGGGAAACTCTCCACTCTCTCCACAACTGCCCCATCACCAAAATGGTACAAAATACCCAGGCAGGTGCTTAGTTTTGGTGGGGCTGATGGTAAGTCCCCACCTTTTAGTGGCAAGCTCCAGGTTCAGCAGCAGTGCCTCCAACTCCTCCTCTGAGTAATCAGTAATTACCAGATCATCGGCATACATAACATGGTTGACCAATAGGGAGCTATCCCTTGATCACACCCGGGCATCGATCAGCCTCCCATTGTATCTGTACCAGATGGAAATTCCTCTGGTACTGCCATCAAAGGCTTCACGAACTACGTGGTCGAGATAGATGTTAAATAATGTGGGAGCCAAAGGACATCCCTGTCGCACCCCAAGGTGAACAGGGAATGGCTCCGACTCCTCGCCACGTAGTTTTACCCGGGCCCGCTGAAGGTCCTTAATGATGGTGAGCAGAAAGTCATGGACTCCGAAAGCACGAAGAACAACTCAGAGCCCCAGCCTACTGATGGTATCATAGGCCTTGACCAGGTCAATAATGTTGGATTCCCTACACCTCGGCTGTAGAAAACGGACAGAAAATATGGCATCTGTACAGGACCGACCTTCCCTGAAACCACATTGGGGCTCCGCAAGCCTCTCCTCAGCTTGCCTGGCAAGGCAATGTTGAATGATCCATGCCAGGACCTTTCCCGGCACACTGAGGAGTGAGATGCCCCTGTCGTTGTTAGAGTCTGTACGGCCCCCCTTCTTAAATAGGGGGACCTCTAGGGGATCCTTAAAATCCTGCGGAACCCATCCAGTGGTCTAGACTGTTGTTATGATGTCATGTAGGGCAGTCTGTGCACAAATACCATCCTCCCTCATCATTTCACTTGGGAGATCATCTCTAACCACTATGTTTCCTGGTCTTTGACTCTGCATCGCATTCAGTACTTCCTCAACATATGGCACCTCAGCCAGCCACTCACAGGGGGTAACTTCTTCCTCCAATATTTGAGGCACGGCAGCCTCAGCAGGGTCATCCCCACTTTGCCCCATGATGTTTTCCAGGCTGAGGGATTTCCCTTCCCCCAGGACCTCACAGAAATGTTAATCAAATCTGCAAATCTGTTCGTGGCGGTCGGAGATTGGATCACCGTTTTTTCCCCTAATGATGGTAATAGGTGTGGCACTGCAAGTTACTTTTTTGATGGAATTAAAGAGCGATTTGTGATCGCGGGCCACTGGGGCAGATTCTATCTCCTCAGCAACCCGCAACCACCACCCCTCCTTGCAGAGCCTCATGGCTCTCCGAACCTCCGAGCGAAGGCTGCGGTATGCCTCCTAATTCTCTAATGTGGGATGCTGTCGACGATGAGAGTGGGCCTGTCGCTTTTTCTCAGCCAGCCTGAACACCTCCTTTGTCAGCCAGAGTCTCTGGGGAGGTTTGGACCATGTATCCAAAGCAGCCATTGCAGCTGCATGAGCCACAGTCCTAACTCTCACCCATTTTCCCTCGAAATCAGGAGGAGAGGGCACGGTGCTAACCCCAGCTGCAAGCGATGTTGAAATTCACGCTTGCAACTTTCATCAGCTAGCTGAGACCAGGCCACTATGGGTTTGAATGGGGTCCTGGGTGTACATCCACCACCAGAGTGGAAGAATGGCAGGCGCATCTTACAGATGACAAGTCGATGGCCAGTGGGCAGATCAGCTCCACGGTAGGTCCTGGTATCAAGGGCATGAGCCCGCATCTGCTGTTCCATCACTATGTAATCCAGCAGATTTTCTTGCTTGGACCCGGCATGGATCCATGATGTTGTGTGGATATGCCGATGCCGGAACAGTCTGTTGGTAATTACAAGCCCATGGGCTGCACAAAAGTCTAGCAGCCTGCTACCCTTGTTATTGAGCTGATCTGGCCCATGCCTTCCAATCACTCCAGACCAGGTGCCAGCATCAGGGCCAACTCGGGCATTAAAGTCGCCCAACAGGATGACTCTATCCCGAGGGGCCACTTTAGCTAGAACCTGTGGCAGGTCATAGAAGGCATCTGACTCATCGGCTTTGCCTGCATCCCTTCACGGATGTTCGTCTTCAGTGGGGGCATAAGTAACCATGACCACCACTCCTTGCCTCTGGTTGATGGGAAGGCGAGCCCAAAGTAACCTGGGGCTTATCACTTCCCACACCTCACCGCCACGCTCCCATGCCCCCTTCATTATTTTGTTCAGAAGAAGAGCTACTCCCTGTTGTTTGGCAGTCTCCTGCCCCGAGTAGAGGACAATCCACCCCTCATGGTGGCAGGAGCCAGAGCCAGTCCACCGGACCTCCTGAATACCACAGAGATCCAGATGTTACCGGTCCAGCTCCCGACAGAGGAGTGACAGCCTCTCCTCCGCAGTGAGCGTTCGAATATTCCACGTGGCCACCCACAGTGTTTTTTTCTGTTTCTGGAGGAACCCCAAGGGTCAGGATTAAATCTCCTGGCTCCGCCAAATGGGTTGTCCCCCCGGGGCCTCCGGCACATAATTCGATTTTTATTCCATGGTATCGTGGTAATTTATTTGAAAGTGAAGGGATTACCAGCCCCTCGCACCCGTCCAGAGCCCCCATTTGGCCGCTGTGGTGGTTCCAAACGCCATGAAGGGAAAGGTCAATCTAAACTGGCCCTTTCCCCATGGCACTGCTCACCACAGCGTTGCCATCTGGCACCAATGAGGAGGTAGGGGGTTGTTTTGCCGGACCATCAACACACACACACACTTGTATACACACACCCACTCACACACACACACTCACACACTCACACACACACAGACACACTCACACACACACAGACACACACAGACACACACACAAACTCACACACAGACACACTCACACACAGACACACACACAGACACACACACAGACACACCCACACACACAGACACACACAGACTCACACATAGACACACACACACAGACACACACACACACAGACACACACACACACACAGACACACTCACACACGCAGACACACACAGACACACACACACCAAAACACACACACACACCCACTCACACACACCCACGCACACCCACACACCAACACACACACAAATACACCAAAACACTCCACAACACACACCCAATACACACACCCAAATCACCCCCCCCCATCACGCTCCAAAATACAGACGCCCACGCACAAACCATCACACACAATCACACACACACATCATCACACACGGATACATCCCATCACTCACATACACCATCACACAAAGATATCCCGTATAGCCTTAACAGACTGCTGGGACAGGTGCTGTGTAGCCTCGTCCCTTTGTTATGGTTAAGGGGGCGCACGAGCGCCTCCCGTCCGGCCGCCTTTGTCTCTGCAGCAGTGCCAAGTTCCTAATTTAATTAAGGCCGAGTCTACCTAAGGGACGGCCCAGGAACGGGCCTGATGTAATTCGCCACCGTTGGCCGTGAATCTTACTTCAAGTCGCTGGGTTCCTCGCGCAATGCGCTTAACACTGCACCGCCGCTCCCCAATCCGTAACGCGTGCACACTCCTCGTGTAGCTTTTAACGGCCTGGTGGGGCAAATGCTCTTAGCGAGCACATATTAAGGCCTGAACGACACACGAAGGGGGTGGTGTGGCCATAGCCACGCCCGTTCGCCTTTTTCTCCCCCATGCTGAGTCAATCTCATGTGGCCCGGTTCGAATGCGCAGTGCGCTAACCATTGCGCCACCGCTCCCCCATTCGGCTTCTCTGTTCAACCGCCTACCACGTCCCTGACGCCCAGGAGCAAGAGTCGCCATTCGCAACGCAGCGGCGCTGACATCCGCAAGGCTGTCCGTGCCAGGCTACGTGCACCAGGTGCAGAGGTAAATACAGCTTTGGGATATGAACCAGAATAATTCCCAGAATAGATAAGTGGACGATTCGACTCCTCCCCATATCAGTTTTAACTCCCCACCGCTCTCGACATGCAGTGCCTCATCAGCAGAGTCAGGCTCGCTCAGCACCATCTCCAGGCATGGATTCGACATTGAGAGTCTCATCAGCGTAGGCTCGCTTGAACCGCTGCTGGCGAAAGTGCCTGCAGGTGTTTAGAGGTGAGGTCCTCTCCGTGAGACCACGGCTCCCAAGTTTGACGCGGGGCTCCAATGTGCACCATGCTCGCTCGTAATCATCAGCAGAATCGGCGTTAGAATTCCGAGAAGTGACCGCGTCAAATGTGGGTGGCCCGGTGCCTATTTGCATGTCTGGATTCTTGAGAGTTATCGTTGGTGGTGGCGGTGGTGACGACGAGGATGCATCAGCGATCCGCGTACCGATTATTACCGACCTCGAGGCAGAGAGGAGACGCATTTTCAGGTAGGGGGGGGCAACCCCTCCAGCAATGAAAAATGATAGAGTTGTTAGTAAGTAAGGAGTTAGTAAGTAAGGAGTTGTTAGTAAGTAAGGACTTGTCCCTTGCTTTTTATTCGACGCGTGTGCGGCGATGGTGCAGCCATCGATCGAGCGTCGAATTCGAACCGCGTTGTGTGATCGACATCGCGCTCGCTGAAGGTGTTGATGCCTTCAGGGAAGTCGTGTACTCTATACGCAACTGCGCACAATTTTGTGAGTCACTTACAGTGAGGGAAAAAAGTATTTGATCCCCTGCTGATTTTGTACGTTTGCCCACTGACAAAGAAATGATCAGTCTATAATTGTAATGGTATGTTTATTTGAACAGTGAGAGACAGAATAACAACAAAAAAATCCAGAAAAACGCATGTCAAAAATTTTATAAATTGATTTGCATTTTAATGAGGAAAATAAGTATTTGACCCCTCTGCAAAACATGACTTAATACTTGGTGGCAAAACCCTTTTTGGCAATCACAGAGGTCGGACGTTTCTTGTAGTTGGCCACCAGGTTTGCATACATCTGAGGAGGGATTTTGTCCCACTCCTCTTTGCAGATCTTTTCCAAGTCATTAAAGTTTCGAGACTGACGTTTGGCAACTCGAACCTTCAGCTCCCTCCACAGATTTTCTATGGGATTAAGGTCTGGAGACTGGCTAGGCCACTCCAGGACCTTAATGTGCTTCTTCTTGAGCCACTCATTTGTTGCCTTGGCCATGTGTTTTGGGTCATTGTCATGCTGGAATACCCATCCACGACCCATTTTCAATGCCCTGGCTGAGGGAAGGAGGTTCTCACCCAAGATGTGACGGTACATGGCCCCGTCCATCGTCCCTTTGATGCGGTGAAGTTGTCCTGTCCCCTTAGCAGGAAAACACCCCAAAAGCATAATGTTTCCACCTCCATGTTTGACGGTGGGGATGGTGTTCTTGGGGTCATAGGCAGCATTCCTCCTCCTCCAAACACGGCGAGTTGAGTTGATGCCAAAGAGCTCCATTTTGGTCTCATCTGACCACAACACTTTCACCCAGTTGTCTTCTGAATCATTCAGATGTTCATTGGCAAACTTCAGACGGGCATGTATATGTGCTATCTTGAGCAGGGGGACCTCGCGGGCGCTGCAGGATTTCAGTCCTTCACGGCGTAGTGTGTAACCAATGGTTTTCTTGGTGACTATGGTCCCAGCTGCCTTGAGATCATTGACAAGATCCTCCCGTGTAGTTCTGGGCTGATTCTTCACCGTTCTCATGATCATTGCAACTCTACGAGGTGAGATCTTGCATGGAACCCCAAGCCGAGGGAGATTGACAGTTATTTTGTGTTTCTTACATTTGCGAATAATCGCACCAACTATTGTCACCTTCTCACAAAGCTGCTTGGCAATGCTCTTGTAGCCCATTCCAGCCTTGTGTAGATCTACAATCTTGTCCCTGACATCCTTGGAGAGCTCTTTGGTCTTGGCCATGGTGGAGAGTTTGGAATCTGATTGATTAATTGCTTCTGTGGACAAGTGTCTTTTATACAAGTAACAAGCTGAGATTAGGAGCACTCCCTTTAAGAGTGTGCTCCTAATCTCAGCTCGTTACCTGTATAAAAGACACCTGGGAGCCAGAAATCTTTCTGATTGAGAGGGGGTCAAATACTTATTTCCCTCATTAAAATGCAAATCAATTTATAACATTTTTGGCATGCGTTTTTCTGGATTTTGTAGTTATTCTGTCTCTCACTGTTCAAATAAACCTACTATTAAAATTATAGACTGATTATTTCTTTGTCAGTGGGCAAACGTACAAAATCAGCAGGGGATCAAATATTTTTTTCCCTCACTGTATATTTGCTTTGCCGTTACTTATTGCCAATTATGGATTCAGACTATTGTTCTATCATCTCATAGAGTCCCTAGCACGTAATAAAATGCTACACAGTGGCAGTGGGGGTCGCAAAATTTCGAATTATTACTAATAAACCCCAATGATCCGATCGATATTAGGGATTTCGATCGGATCATTGGGGGAGCACGTGCCACTCCACCCCCACTGGCTCCGCCAGTGCTACCACCACCCTCTCATCATCACCATCACCCTCTCATCATCATCACCACCACCCTCTCATCATCATCATCACCACCTCTCATCATCATCACCACCACCCTCTCATCATCATCACCACCACCCTGTCATCATCACCACCACCCTCTCATCATCATCACCACCACCCTCTCATCATCATCATCATCACCCTCTCATCATCATGACCACCACCCTCTCATCATCATCACCACCACCCTCTCATCATCATCATCACCCTCTCATCATCACCACCCTCTCATCATCACCATTACCACCCTCTCATCATAATCATTATCACCCTCTCATCATCACCACCACCCTCTCATCATCATCACCACCACCCTCTCATCACCACCACCACCCTCTCATCATCACCATTACCACCCTCTCATCATAATCATTATCACCCTCTCATTATCACCACCACCCTCTCATCATCATCACCACCACCCTCTCATCACCACCACCACCCTCTCATCATCACCACCACCCTCTCATCATCATCACCACCACCCTCTCATCATCACCACACTCTCATCATCATCACCACCACCCTCTCATCATCATCACCACCCTCTCATCATCATCACCACCACCCTCTCATCATCATCACCACCACCCTCTCATCATCATCACCACCACCCTCTCATCATCATCATCACCACCCTCTCATCATCACCACCACCATCTCATCACCATCACCACCACCCTCTCATCATCATCACCACCACCCTCTCATCACCATCATCATCACAACCCTCTCATCATCACCACCCTCTCATCATCACCACCACCCTCTCATCACCACCACCACCCTCTCATCATCATCATCATCACCACCATCCTCTCATCATCATCACCACCACCATCTCATCATCACCACCACCCTCTCATCATCACCGCCACCACCATCTCATCATCATCACCACCCTCTCATCATCACCACCACCACCCTCTCATCATCACCACACTCATCATCATCACCACCACCCTCTCATCATCATCACCACCACCCTCTCATCATCATCACCACCCTCTCATCACCACCACCATCTCATCACCATCACCACCACCCTCTCATCATCATCATCATCACCACCCTCTCATCACCACCACCACCCTCTCATCATCACCACCCTCTCATCATCACCACCACCCTCTCATCATCATCATCATCACCACCCTCTCATCACCACCACCACCCTCTCATCATCACCACCCTCTCATCATCACCACCACCCTCTCATCATCACCACCCTCTCATCATCATCACCACCACCCTCTCATCATCATCACCACCACCCTCTCATCATCATCACCACCACCCTCTCATCATCATCATCATCACAACCCTCTCATCATCACCACCCTCTCATCATCACCACCACCCTCTCATCACCACCACCCTCTCATCATCATCATCACCACCACCCTCTCATCATCACCACCACGACCCTCTCATCATCATCACCACCATCCTCTCATCATCACCACCACCATCTCATCATCACCACCACCCTCTCATCTTCACCGCCACCACCATCTCATCATCATCACCACCCTCTCATCATCACCACCACCACCCTCTCATCATCACCACACTCATCATCACCACCACCCTCTCATCATCATCACCACCACCCTCTCATCATCATCACCACCCTCTCATCATCACCACCACCATCTCATCACCATCACCACCACCCTCTCATCATCATCATCACCACCACCCTCTCATCATCATCATCACCACCCTCTCATCATCACCACCCTCTCATCATCACCACCACCCTCTCATCACCACTACCACCCTCTCATCATCATCATCATCATCACCACCACCCTCTCATCATCATCACCACCACCCTCTCATCATCATCATCACCCTCTCATCATCACCACACTCATCATCATCACCACCACCCTCTCATCATCATCACCACCATCCTCTCATCATCATCATCATCACCACCACCATCTCATCACCACCACCACCACCCTCTCATCATCACCACCCTCTCATCATCACCACCACCCTCTCATCATCATCACCACCACCATCTCATCATCACCACCACCCTCTCATCATCACCACCACCCTCTCATCATCATCACCACCACCCTCTCATCATCATCACCACCACCCTCTCATCATCATCACCACCATCCTCTCATCATCATCACCACCACCATCTCATCATCACCACCACCCTCTCATCATCACCGCCACCACCATCTCATCATCACCACCCTCTCATCATCACCACCACCACCCTCTCATCATCATCACCACCACCCTCTCATCATCACCACCACCCTCTCATCATCACCACCACCCTCTCATCATCACCACCACCATCCTCTCATCATCACCACCACCCTCTCATCATCATCATCACCACC